GATCAGGAAGTTTAAACAAAACTGAATTAGGAGTTTAAACAGAACTGGATTAAGAGTTTAAACAGAACTGGGTTAGGAGTTAAAACTGAACTGGATCAGGAGTTTAAATAGACCTGTACTGTTAATTTATTTGTTTTTATTTTTACTCTTCTGTGTTTTTTTTTCTTGCAGATTTTTTTCTTTCTAAAAAAAAAATCCAAAAGTATAACAGCGATTGACACTTTGTATAACTGTTTAATAGAAATTCACAAATAAATAAATAAATTACTAATAAATTGCAGTTCTAAAACTGTAATTTTGTTTGTTAATCTGATTTCTTTTGTGAAATCATTTGATTGCTTGCGTAGAAATAAATCCGCCTCCTAGTGTAAAAAGTTTCATCCTTCAGCTGCTAAATTAAAAATGACAGCTCTCTAACGGTGAGAGCTGCTGAAGTGGCGTCCTGCAGGTGTAAATGGAGTGTCTGCCCACCGCAGGGCGCGACTGGTCAACACGCCTCGGCTCGGCATGAAGAAACAACAACAACAAAAACCCTGAATAAATCACAGCGAGGTGCTGGATGCGGCTGCTATCGACACTAATGAATAACCCCAGTTAACAGCACGGCTGATCCAGAATCAGCTTCAAACAGACACTGTGGTTCTGGTTTCATCTGCTAAACCTCAGCTAACCAGCATCTCTCAGAACACCATCGCCAACTTTGATGGTGTGATCCATTTGTACTCCGAAACAAAAATTTATCAGTTCCTAAACGGAAAACTTCATCAGAATGTCAGATAATACAGAATACAGACTCAGGTCTGAGATTTCTAAAGGAGCCCAACCTAAAAATCCAACAGGACAGCCTGGCATATGAAAATAGTGAGAGCTGCCATAATAAATACCGTAATTTTCGGACTATTGAGCACACTATAAGCCGTGCTCACTAAATTAAAAAAGGCAAAACAATTTAGTACATATATAGGCCACACTTGTCTATAAGCCGCGGGTGTCCACGTTGTAACATGAGATGTTTACCTCACATTTTTCCGCACTTGCTCTTGTACGAGGCGCACGCATTCTCTTCCCTCTCCTGTTCTCCTCCTGCTTTTTTGCTCTCTGTCTGTGCATCGGAGCTTCAATTTTTTACACATCTTCCAAAACAAAAACTACTGTTACGGATCTGATCAGCTGGACTTTCAACGCAATCGACAAAATCTTTTCAACAAAGCGACAGGGTCCTGGAGAGCCCTCATGTCCTGCTGAGAATATCAGGAGGACGCCGAAGACGCATACAATTGGATTATGATAACAGGTTTCCTGCTTTTTGGAAATCGGCTGGTTCCTGGTTTATCATCATACAAAGAAGACAGCTGCAGCTAATTTGGCTCTCGTCAGGCTGCTGCCTTGTGAAGGTTTGGTTCGTGCTTTGAGGACTCAAAATCAGCTGATTTACAAGCTAAATTGTAAGATGGAAGTGATTTGGGAGAATCGCAGGGCACCTGCGGCTTTGGGACTCGCCAGCATGTTGGAAACGACCTTGGAGGGGCTTGTAAGCTTGGACCAGTACAATGCACCCTAATTGGCCGTTTTAGTTCTTGAAAGTACCAGTAAGACTCAAGGCTGACAAGAAAAAAACAGTCTGCCTGAAGAAAATCAACAATTGTGGCTTATTTGAATCTGACTCCCCTGGTTGGCCTCGAAACAGGCCGACATATCAATTTCTCCTGGGAAATGTGTAAACGAAGGTAAAGCTTCGTCCATCGCAACCCCCGCGACCCCAGAGAACTTCTGTGGAGGCTTATCAGAACTGTGCCGGCTGACCATCATCTTATCAGGACAATGGACCGTCTGTTAGTGCGTCATGGACCGCCTCGTCATCAAATGCATATAACATGTTTATAAATGTGCTGGCAGAGTTTTTTGTCTTAAATCATGTCCTGATAGGACAAGATGTGAAAAAATCTTTTTTGTAATGCCACTCTCCTCTCCTCATGGATTTTTCCCCTTTTCTATCTGAAAAGGATAAGAGGCCGCGCTATCACAGCAGCAGCTTCGTGCGCTCCGCCCGTCTTTTGGACGACTGTACGGACATTTTCTTGCTGTAGCTCGGTGCAATGATAATAAAGCTTATTCTGATTCTGATTACACAGAATGATTTTTTAAAAACTTTTAATTAAATACGTATCAGTAACATGCACAATCACGTACAGTAATAACTGGTTAACAAATGTAATAAATAAATACAGTTGCCTGCCAGGAACAGTCACTGATCTCTATGTTCTATGACATAGGCCTGTCCATCTCATGAATCTGAGACACCACCTCTAAAATCTTCAATCTTGTTTTCGGTGGCACTTGTTTTAGCTTTTAGCCGGATCTGCACGATGGAAACACCTGTGCTCTGCGTGTTCACCCAGTCTTCAAGAACGTTTTCAAGTTCGGGCCATCTGCTTTTTTTTTTTTACCTCTGAAAGCTTTTCTCGTCTTTTTGTATTGATTCAGTTCTTCCCGCCGTCTCCAACGTCCTTAACATCGATTCAGTGACGGCAAGCTTACGTGCAGCAGCTCTATTTCCTGCTTCGACAGCCGGATCAATCGACTTTAACTTAAAAAGCTGCATCATCTGCATTTCTTGGTGTGTTTTCCATGATGAGGGCGTGTGCACGAAGCGCAAAATTTAGTGCGAGTGTATTTGACTTACGATAATTCGAAGTTTCATCGGTCTATATATATATATATATATATATATAACCTTTATTTATACAGGTTGTCTCATTGAGTCACGAGGACCTACCACCCAAGAGAGACATGTATTGGGCAGTATGCGAGCACCCAGGTGCGACGAGATGAAGCTCGTTAGCCCGTAAAAAACCCAAAAATCCATAAATTAGCCGCAGCGTTGTGTCAGTCGCGGTGTTCAAAGTCCGTGAAAAAAGTAGCTGCTTACAAACCGGAAATTACGGTAAACTCTTTACTTCTTTGGGAAACACTGTGGCTAACGGATAACTTAAACTAATTGACGCTGATGGCGGTAACTGAAGCTAATTGAGAAAAGGCTAACTGAAAATTGACATCTGGAATACTGTGGCTAACTTTTGGTAATCTGGATAATAGGGCTAGCTAAGCCTAGAAACACTATGAAGTATAGACCAATAAAAAGCTACATTATCTGTCAAGAAAACTGTGTTGGCCTCTGTGTTACTGATGATTTCTGTTTGTTGGTATTTTTATTGTACGACCTGTGGTCACTGATGATCCTCCAGGTGACGCTGAAGTAAATAAACTGAAAGCACTTGACCAACGGTACATCTCTGGAAACACCTTAAAGCCCGTTCTTCTTCACCAAGCACCATTAGCACCTCGTAATTACTCTACGCTAAGAATGTCGGCACAAGCACGGCAAAGAAGTCTTTAAATAACAACAAAACATGCCGTGCTTGTGTGTTTCCATTCTACAGCACTTTGGTTGGCCTTGTTGTTGTTTTAAGTGCGCTATAAATAAATTGGTATGGTATGGTAAAACAGACAACAACAAGGTGTTAATGCAAGACACCCTCAAACTAAAAAAGACCTCTATAGCCTTAGCAGAGACATAAATGTTGCTTTTCAACTTTTGACCTATCTTCTAGACATTAAACCTCCGTAACTACAACAGAGCTTCAGGGCCACGCTAAGATTTTTTTATTTTAAAGCCACAAAATTACGAGAATAAAATCGTACAAGACTTTTTTTTCTTTTTTACAGCTCTCCTTTATTTATTTAATTTTATTCCAAGAGTCAGATTCACGACACGACCTGTCAATCAATCCAGTAGGCGTGTCAGCAAATGACCAATCTGAAGCTAAATGAGTCGTAATATTATCTGAACTCCGACACAATAAAGCAGAGTTTACCACATTCTAACTGTGGTAAAATGAAGAAGGTTGAGCATCTTGTTAAGTTATACTTTGGTATTAGTTTTATAAATAAGGAAATACCATAATTTCCGCCGTATACGTCGCATCTATTACGCGTCACCGCTGACAACAATGTGGGTCGGTGTTGTGCCAAAAATCGATGGGCTGCCAAACGGCGGGAGCATGCACGGGAGGACTTTAACAAGAATTTAGCAAGATTAACACTTAAAACAATTAGTTGTTTGCTCGACATTATAGTAAATGTTTGTCTCGGTCGAACGTTTGCTTAATAAATGTGCTTTGAAGGTCAAATCAGTTGTATTTCAAAAACCGATACGCGGAAGTAAACGCGTACGCGAAGAGTCGTTGTGCAAATTTAACAAGATAAACACCTAAACAATAATTTGTTTGCTCGAAATTAAAGCAAAGGTGTGTCTCAGTGTAACATTTGATTAATAAATGCACTTCAATGATCAAATCAGCTGAATTTCAAAAATAGTTATGCTGCTGAGGTGCTCCCGGGAGCGCAGACAGGGAGGGAAAAAAGGAATAAAGCTACTCGTTTAATCAAAATTTTACAAGAAAAGCACCTAGACAATTATTTGTTTGCTCAAAATTATAGCAAAGGTGTGTCTCAGTTTAACATTTGCTTAATAAATCCACTTTAATGGTCAAATTAGCTGCATTTCACCGGAGCGGTGCAGCTGTTTTGACGATTCCAAGCAACGAGCAGAATGAAGGTGGGGAGAACTATGGCAGGCTGATTAAGTCATTAATAGCTGGTGAAGATTCTCAGTCATCCAGGACATGGTAAATTCAAAAAGGTTCAAGAAAAAAACCAAGTATAAAGTAAAGTATAATAAATAAAGTCCAGTTGTTTTTGTCTGGAATTTTTTTAATTTGTCATTATAGCCACGTTTACCTATTACATGATACAACAACATGCCATACTGCTATTACCACTCTGCTGCCATCAAGTGGCTGAAAGTGGTACTGCTAAAAAAAAGAAATTCAGTCAGAATGAATGAAATCGGTCATATCTCAGCCAAAAATTGTTTTTTACATATCGGGAAAAAAATCCAAAAAGATGTTGCTACGGCCTATAAGTGGCAAGACATGCAAATTATGCAGAAAAACTGACTTATTGGCTGAAAAATACGGTACTTAATCTGTTAGCACATCAGCATCAGATTATTTTCAGCATCAGGACTTTGAACCTGCTTACAGTAAGGTGGTACGCTCTGATGGGCTGCAGAGCTGCTCTGCAGGTAACAAGCATTTAGCTTAGGGCTGGTCATTTGCTGACACGCCTACTGGATTGACTGACAGGTCGTGTCGTGGATCCGACTCGTGGAAAAAAAATAAATAAATAAACGAGAGCTGTGGAAAAAATTATAATCTCGTACGACTTTATTCTCGTAATTTTATGTTTTTTGATTTTTTTCTTCTTAGCGTGGCCCTAAAGCTTCGTACTGTAACAGACCAACAACTTGAACAATGGTTTGTGGTGTCTCTCCATAAACCTCAATTCACGCCTCTATTTTCCCTTTGCAAAGGTTTTTGTTAGCTCTGTTGACAAGAAGGTTCCTCCTGTTTACGTTTTTACAGTTTGAGTGTACTCTAGGAATCACACTTTGATGGGGTGTATACAACCTAAATATCCTCCGTACATGAAGTCCACAAGGTTTTCTGTGAGCGTTCCCAACAGTGTTGATGTTTTAGATTTCTGTAGACTAAAAAAATCTACGTGGATATCCAGTTCTGAACATAATTAGCCTTGGATTTGTTCAAAACTACAAACCCACTCTTGTCAAGTCTAATCAAAGTACAGTAATCCCTCGGTACTTCGCGGTTCGACTTTCGCGGACTCACTGTTTTGCGGGTTTTCAATGTAAGTTTGTAAACAACACACGATTGGCTGATTGATGGAAGGCGACCAACCAGAGCACTGTGCTCTGTATCCTGGGCACTGATTGGCTCAGTAACCGTAGCCTCAGTCTGTCTGCTCTCTTCCGCTGTGCTCTTTTAGAGAGTTTAGAACGTTGCAAGAGTGTGGAAATGGTTTATAAAGCCTTAAAATATATATAAATACTAAAATAAATATAACGTCCCGACTTTGCAGATTTCCACCCATCACGTCGGTGTCTGGAACGTAACCCCCGCGATAAGTGAGAGACTACTGTCTCTACTAACCCATCTAAAAACAAAGCTCTTACAAATCTTTGAAGTTTTTTTATGTCACCTACATTTGCTGAGGTTACGTTTTAGTAAAAGACCATTCCTCTGGATTACCTGAACGTTTGAATTAAGGTTGTACAACCAGGGGTTTCCAGGAAAGACTGAGCCTTAACCGTTGAGGATCTTAAGGGTAGCAACAACAAAAAAAAAATAAATCAGTTGGGAACTTTTCGTGTTCTACCGTCCGTTCTTGGTGACGATCATCTCGTTGGTGATGTGTTGGAACTTCCTCCACAGATCGGCGTCCTCCAGCGCCACCTTCAGCTCCCTCTCCGTGGGGTCGCCCTTTTCGCGGCCGGCCTGCAGCTCGCTCTCCACGGCGCTCAGCAGCCGCGACATACAGAGCTCTGCAGATCCGAGGCCGCAGACCGTCCCACCAGAACCACGGTCTGCTGGCGCCGTTGAACCCGACTCCCCATCCTCCTGTAACCCCTCCACCTTCATCTGGAGACTCAAACAAAAAACAGTTGCTGGTGAGCCACTATTTACTGGTCCTGGGACTAAATCAGGTCAAAATAAAGTTATCTTGAGACTCCAAAACAAATTATGTTTTTAATCTTTTTTCCATTTGGTTTTAAATAAAAGACAGAGAAATTTAAATATTTCACATGTGGATTAAAAAAACAAACTTACTTAGAGCTTTCACTGGTTTGGTTGAAAGATGTAATTTTTGAAACAATTTTGAATTAAATGATCCACTTTAAATAATTAAACTCTTACAAGCAGTACTGTCATGTCCCTCATCGCTGAGGAATTGGTATGAGTATTTTTCTGGAATTGAACAGGGTCTGTAAGGAAACTTTAATGTTTTTGTTGCAAGATGTTTTTTTTCATTCAACCTTTATTTATACTGGTTAATCCCATTGAGCCTCGGGGACTCATTTACAAGAGAGACCTGATTTTAACAAAGAATGATGACAACAGTGAGTCCTTCTTTCTATTTTATCTATGAATGGTGTCCCTATTGTTAAGATATTTTTAATCTAGACTGGTCCTATGGTTTTGATCTGCTCAGAGACGGGATTATAATGAAATTATGACCCGGTTCTGACTGGGTTAAACTGGGCCAGCAAACTCTAAACAGAGTCTCCCTGGGATTTCAATATCAGTCAAGAAATAGTTTAATCTGCTTGCCACATCACATAGAAAGGCTTTTGAAGCACCGTCTCATATATTTCCTAACACGTCAGTCCACATAAGATCCACTGAGATCATACTTAGTCACGCCCCCCTCATACACTGATAGGTTGAGGTCCCCTTCTGTGAAGGAGGAGTCTAGGACCCTATAAATTAGTAATGACACGGGACATCGAGGCTCTTCCGGGTTTTGGAGAACGCGTCATAGACCGGAGAGTCAAGCGCTGTGAATCTGTAACTTTTTCCTGCCTTGACTTTTAATACAATTGGTAAAACTGAATTGACGTTTTCCTTGATTTATTGATTAGTATAGTTGCCACTTCTGAGGGAGGTTCGAGCCGGGGGTAAAGACGTGGGCTGGAGGGGGTTTCCGGATCCGGTGGCCAGCAGCCAGCTCCCGTCTTTAACACTATTGAATTTTTCGATTCTTAAAAATACTTGGGTATTTTGTTCGATTTGCATCTCTCTTTTAAGCCTCATGTCGAAAACTTGATGAAGAAATTGAAAGAAAAACTGGGTTTCTGTTTCAGAAATAGGTCCTGTCTAATGCTGCTACCTTCCTTCCCTCCATTGACTACGGTGACATTATTTACCTGAACACTTCTACAAGCGCCTTGCAGATGTTGGATGCTGTCTAACATGGTGCGCTAAGATTCATAACTGGCTACTGTACCCACCACTGCACCCTGTATTCACTGGTTAACTGGTCATTATCAACTTCACACAGACTCTCTCACTGGTACATTTTCATCTTTAAATCACTTCTTGGTCTGCTGTCTTCATACATCTCCTACATGGCATGTCGTCAGTGCAGTTACAGCGTGCGCTCTCAGGACATTATTACTTGCAGTGTTCCCTCTGTGAAGACCAAACTTGGCAAAAGGGCCTTCTCTTACTCTGCTCCTGTTTCCTGGAACTCCTTGCAAAAAGATCTGGGGTTGTCGACTTTGACCTCTCTAAGGGATTTTAAACAACTGCTAAGTTCATGGCAAAAACCAACGCAGTTCCCGTTTTTAGTATTTTACATCGCTTCATAATGTACTTACTTTTGTTTGGTTTTTACATCATTTCTTCTATTTAATTTTCATTTTATATGCTTTTTATATGATTGTCTACTGTTGTCTGTGCCTCATCTGTGCTCGTTGTTTAAATCAGGTCTCTTGTAAATGAGTCCTCGAGACTCAATGAGACTAACATGTATAACTAAAGGTTGAATGAAAAAAAATATCTGGTGCTTCCTGTTTTGATCAGACTTCCATGCACTAATGTTATTACATTTTTTAATTAAAAAAACACATTAGTCACTGCTTTCAATAATTAAGTTTTAAACCAAGATCTCTTCATACTCAGAGTATTTGTTGGGATGACTCTCGGCTACTACCACACCAAAAGTTAGCTCGATATCTGTAAAATTTTTCGAGATGGAGACATTTTTATGTTGGGAATGGTTTATTGGCTGTAGCAGCGATTGACGCCAAAAGTGAATAGTTGTAGATGTAGTTGTAGATGTAGAATGCTCTCTGAGAGTTCTGTTAAAACGTGGTCCAGGAGCGAATCCCAGACATCCCTCTCCAGCTCCTCCTGGTGGACCCTGAGGCGTTCCCAGACCTGAGGATATATATAATCCCTCCAGTGAGTCCTGGGTCACCCCCCGTTTATTTCAAGTGGAACACGGCCATAAAACCTTTTGAAGGGAGTTATCCTAATCAGATGTTTGAACCACCTCAACTGACTCCTTTAAGTGAGGAGCAGCAGAAGCTCCACTCCAATCTCCCCAAGACAATGGGACTCTTCACCCTATCTCCAAGACCGAGCCTGGCCACCCTACGGAGGGAGCTCATGTCAACGGTTTGGATCGAATATTTCATTCTAGATCATCAGGAGAGTGTCCTTCAACAACTCAGCCACCATAGGAAATTTTACTCCAGGGTGTTGGAAGGGAGGCGCCAACCCATGGCCGAACCTCAGACTCAGATGGAGCAGTGGGGTCTTGGTCCTGGTCGTGGACCAGTGGACCAGATCTTACTCTTGGTAAACTGCTAAGGGGGTCATGGCAGTTTGACTTTACAGTCAATGTGTTTCGTGGATCTTGAGAAGGGTTATCACTGGATTCCCCAAGACATTTGGTGGAGGACGCTGCAGGAACTTGGGGTACTTTTTAGGGCTATCTGGTTCATGTAGAACCAAAGCAGCATCCTCGGCACAAATTCAAACTTGTTCTCGAGGGAGATCGAAGGGTCGACCCTCGTCTCAGGTCATGCTCGCGGTGTTCGGGGACAGGATCTCAAGAAGAGGCTGGTGTCTGGTTTGGGCACCTCAGGGCTTTTGCTTTATGCAGATGATGTGGTTCTGTTGACGTCTTCGGTCCGTGACGTTCAGCGTGCTCTGGAGCCGTTTGCAGCAGAGCGTGAAGTTACTGGGATGACAGTCAGCTCCTCTAGTCTGAGGTCATGGTTCTTAAACGTAAACAGGTGCAATGTTCCCTCCAGGTCCAGGTGAGTCTCATTAATTGAATGTGTATTTTAGCGTCATGGTTTATACACAGCAGTCTTTGGTCCTTTGGACAAATGAAGTTTTTTGATGTAGTGTGCTGAGAGACTTTAATTTTAATTTTATTTTTTTAAAGCTACCTTTATTTTTACTTCCATCAAAGTTCAATCAGGTCATCTGGATGGTTTATTTTTTGTTGAAACATTTTGTCCTTCATCCAAAGGACTTCATCAGTCTGAGGAACCACAACAAACTCAGTCCCATATGTAGCACACTCACATGGACAAACCAGTTTATGGTGATAAGATGGTTTCTGGTGCCCACCCTCTCCCCCATTGACTCCTCTGAGGCAGCCATGGCCAAAGTGGTTCAAAACATCAAAGTTCATGCTCAATAATCCAGGTAAAAAAATCCAACAAGGTTAAATCAGGTCTTCTGGATGTTTTTTTTTTTTGGGGTTTTGTTTTGTTTGTTGTTGAAATGTTTTGTCCTTCATCCAAAGGACTTCATCAGTCCAAGGAGTCACAACAATCATCCAGATGACCTGATTTAACTTTGATGGATTTTTTTACCTGGATTATTGAGCAGGAACTTTGATGTTTTGAACAACTTTGGCCATGACTGCCTCAGAGGAGTCAATAGGGGAGAGGGCGGACTCCAGAAACCATCTTATCATTAAAAAAAAGATTTTGTTGTAGGCTCAATCATCCAGGTAGATCACAAAACTTGTTGACCCACTACATGACTAAGCCACTTATGGGAATGAGTTTGTTGTGGCTCCTCGGGCTGATGAAGTCCTATGGATGAAAGACGAAAAGTTAAAAAAAAAAAAAAAAAACGTCCAGAGGACCTGACTTAACTTTGTTAGATTTTTTTTTTAAACCTGGATTACTGAGCATGTTTATTTTTACTTGTTTCTGCCAATTTTATTTTTTTTAAATTATAAGTTTTTATGTTTGACTGTATTTACTAAAAATATTGTACTCATTTTTATGGTAAATTAAAACCTTTTCAACAACTTTTTATTATTAGTCCAAAACCACGCTAGTTAGACTGTTGAGATCTGTGCTCGCAAAGGGATTTGCCTGGTTAAAAAAAGGTGAACAATAAATACACGGATAAATTATTTTGTTTCAAACGGTCTCGTTTCACATTTTATAAAGTTCTCATATTTGTTTCATTTAATATCCCTGCAGACAAATAAACTGACATCTGTAACACAAACCCAAGCCCTACCAGCAGCTGCAGTTATTAAAACACAGTTTGATCTCCACCTATTTGTCATTCATTCAACCTTTATTTAAACAGGTTAGTCCCATTGAGCCTCGGGGACTCATTTACAAGAGAGACCTGATTTTAACTAAGAATGACGACAACAGTGGACAATCATAAAAAGCATACAAAATGAGAAGAACAAATAAAATAAAATGGTATTAAAAAACAGCCAGATTATAGGAACATGTCTGTTTTGATTTTTCCCATGAACTTAATGCTTAAAGCCACTTAGAGAGGTCAAGGTTGAGAGCTTCAGATCTTTTTGTAAGATATTCCAGGAAACAGGAGCGGAGTAGGAGAAGGTCCTTTTGCCTAGTTCAGTCCACACTGAGGGAACACTGCAGGTAATGATGTCCTGAGAGCGCACGCTGTAGCTGCACTCATGCAGAGACATGTAGGAGGAGATATATGAAGGCAACAGACCAAGAAGTGATTTAAAGATGAAAATGTACCAGTGGGAGAGTCTGTGTGAAGTTAATGATGACCAGTTAACCAGTGAATACTGGGTGCAGTGGTGGGTACGATAGTTACAGCCAGTTATG